TCCGAGGGGCCAAGAGCCGTTACGGATTCCCTGAGAATCGAAAATCTCCCGGAAGGTATTTTACTGAATTATTTTCCCAGCATCTGAAGAAACACGTGCGGAAGCGAACCCGACGGCCGCTCCGTTCGCCTCCGCTTTCGCGCACTATTCGCGGCGGTAGCCTAGTTCCCCGCTCCGCCGGTCGGCGGTGACTGCACTGGCCGGGGCTCGCCGCCAGTCGCCCGCAAGCGCCGCTCCCCAAAYCTGGGCAAAGACAGTTCCGGCAGAGAGGCGGGCGCAGCCGCCGCTCATTTAGCAGCACCGCGACCCCGGCGGCCCGCCCTCCACCGGGGCTTCTCCGCTCCCCGAACGGGAGGAAGTGACGTACTGGTGAAACTAGGGGGCCAAGGTGGCCATGGCAGATGCGGGCATTGCGGGGCGGAGTCCGTCGCGGGACCGCCTCCGGGCCAGAGCGAGCGCTGCCCCCGGCGCAGAGTTTCGGAGGTGCCCCACGGAGCAGAAGGAGCACCGCGGACTTTAGCGCCGGGAACAGGCGCGTCCACACGCCCTCAGTGAGGCCGAAAGCGCCATCAATCCCGGCCGTCGTCCGAGTAGAGGTCCATGGCAGCAGGCAGCTCGTGCCAGGGACAAACATGGCGCCCCTGCCCCCGATAGGCCGCGAGAACCCTGCGCATCCGGCGTCGCCCTTGTAGTGCCYGGCCGGGAAGGCGGTGGGCAGCGCCTCCGCCCGGGCTCGTTCCGCGCCCTTGGCAGGGGTAGCGCCCGCCGTGGCCATGGCGGCCTGGCCCGCCGTGCCCCTCCTCATCAACCTCGGCGGGTCGCTGCTGGGCTTCGCGGCCACGCTCGCGCTGATCCCGGCCTTCACGGAACACTTCCTCGCCGCGCGGCTCTGCGGGGAGGACCTCAACAAGACCTCACGGCGGCCTGTGTGAGTAGCGATGCGCCCAGGAGCTGTCCCCAGTGGCCAATCCGGGGCCTGCTGACACCCCACTATGCCTTCCTTCCAGCCCCGAAGCACAGGGCGTAATCAGTGGTGCCGTGTTCCTGATCATCCTCTTCTGCTTCATTCCCGTGCCCTTCCTGAGATGTTTTGTGGAGGAGCAGTGCACGGTCTTTCCTCACGACGAGGTGAGGCTCGTCTAGTGCTGCGAGCGTGGCAGGCACGGGCAGGGAGTGGCCACCGGTGACCGGGGTTCTGTTCTCTGTCTGCAGTTCGTGGAGCTCATCGGTTCGCTCCTTGCCATCTGCTGTATGATTTTCCTGGGCTTTGCAGATGATGTTCTGAACCTGCGCTGGCGCCACAAGCTGCTTCTTCCTACCATGGCTTCCCTCCCACTGCTCATGGTTTACTTCACCAACTTTGGGAACACGACCATTGTGGTGCCTAAGCCTTTCCGAGTACTGCTCGGCATGCACTTGGACCTGGGTAAGTTATGAATCACCAGAAGCCACCATCCACGTGGCAGGCAGTCAGTGGAAGGGATCACCTGAGGCACTTTGTGCTCCAGAGGGAGCAGATGGAGGATTTGCTTAAGTGATCAGTAAGACAGTGGCACTCCACCCACTAAATATTAGGCTGGAAAGAACATCSAGAAACCCAGCACACATTCAGCTGTGCATAGATAGGCACCAGTCATTTCCCCACGATCGTGGCAATAGGGGTGAGAGGTGGGTGCACACAGCACATGGCTGCTAAAACCAGGATGTTAGAGACACAGAAAGGGCATGACAGCTGGCCACCCTGTCAAAGCAGTTTGCTGCAGTCACGGTGATGTACRTACACGTACACAATTGCAGCCAACTCATAAGACAGAAAGTGATCTATTTGTAAGTTACCACTACCAAAACTCACTGAGATTGTTAGGCAGCAGGTTGTTGTATAAGCAGGAAGTGAGAGCTTTAGTGAATTAATCCAGGGCTGTTTTGTCTCCAAGTACTAAAGCATTTGGCTTGCTCTGATCTGCAGGTATTCTCTACTACGTGTACATGGGTATGCTAGCAGTGTTCTGCACTAATGCCATCAACATTCTTGCTGGAATTAATGGAATTGAAGCAGGACAATCGCTGGTGATAGCTGCTTCCATTATCGTATTCAATATTGTAGAATTAAATGGTAAGGAAAAATCTGTGGACACAAAAAGCAAAGGGAGATTGAATCCTAGATTTCAGTAGCTGACGTTATTAAAAGTGAACCAGTCATGTCTTATCACAAACATGATTTTCTTTTTTCTATAGGGGATTATCRAGAAGATCACATGTTTTCTCTCTACTTCATGATTCCCTTTTTTTTTACCACGCTGGGCCTATTTTACCACAACTGGTAAGAGGATGGACATTTACATTCAGAATTTGTTTGGAAGCATCCTTTCCCTCTAGTTTCTCCCTTTTCAAACAACAAAACCTCTTAACAGTGTGCAGGTGAGTTGCTGGAGTGTAGACAGGCTTCTTACCAGAACCAAGAGCACAAAGCATCAATAGGAACGGTAGCTTTTCTTTTTATTACAACAATTGGGGTCACACCAGCTCACCCAAACACAGAATACATTCTCTCCTGTGCCTCACTGGCTGTCTTTTCATACCATATTCTCTGCAAGTCAGGTGGTGGGTCCCAGTCCCATCTTAGAATAAATACCTACAATTGCTTTTACTGTGTAGATGTGCTGCAGATCCCCATTGGCCCCATACATTCAGTGGTTATAAATAGTCATTTTTATGGCAGTAGCAGTCATGACAGACCTTTGCTTTTCTGCTCCATGGATTGCAGGTACCCATCTCGAGTGTTTGTTGGCGACACTTTCTGCTACTTTGCTGGCATGACCTTTGCTGTGGTGGGGATCTTGGGACACTTCAGCAAAACRATGCTGCTTTTTTTCATCCCACAAGTGATCAACTTCCTCTATTCATTGCCTCAACTCTTCCACGTCATTCCTTGTCCCCGTCACCGGCTACCGAGGTAATGTACCAAGTGACCTATAGTGGTACCACACGTGTTGTCTTTTACCTCCCAACATCAGCTGAGAAAGGTGGTAGAAGGTGCTCTTTTTTAAAGCCATTAAAGTATGTTTTCTGTTTAAAAGGCAGCAGCTCACTTTGCCAGCTACAGTCAGGTCACAGAGTACAGGTTTCTCAAACAAGTGAACTTATGTGACCAGCCCACCCCACAGATGATCTTGAATGATTTTGAAAAAGTCAGAACATGATGATTCTAACCTACAAGACTGAGACAAATTGACCCATGCTGCTTTTAATGCTGCTGCAGTGGGATCTGCTAAGATTTCATAGTGGCAAGCATTCTGTATCACTAGGCCGTGCCAGTAATTGTCTCTGCAGATGTTAGATTCTTTTATTTTATTCTTTAACCTACACAGCCTTGTGTATATATTGGGGGTGCACTGGGAAGGAGTCTCCTCTGCCCCATCTGGGGAGCTAGATGGCATCAACTATTGTTACGTGCATCGGATTATTCCTGTTTCTTTCACCACTGGAGTTCTTTCTCAGCTATGGATCTAAGTCTGCTTGCTAAGTGCTCTGTCCATCTCCTTGTTTTATCTGGACTAATTTTTAAATGTTTCTTTTAGGCTTAATCCTAGTACAGGAAAGTTGGAGATGAGCTACTCGAAGTTCAAAACTAAGAGCCTCTCTGCCCTGGGAATAAACATTCTGAAGGTAATATGTCGAAAACATTCAAACAAACATGCATTTTGAGGCAGTCATCAAATGCAAGAGAAACGGTTTGGGAGAAAATGCAGAACTTCTGGAGTCAGTTATTGCTCATCTCAAATCTGGAAGGAAGTCTGTTACCATGCCTTAGTCAATTGATTGTGTTAATAATCTATTTTTCCCAATAATCACACATAGAGGTACCCCAATACCATAATAAGTCTGTCCTGTCGTTTCAGTGAGAGCACAAGCTGGATTTCAGTGATGGTACAGCAAAAGAGCTCTTGAGCAAGATTGGCCGGTGAGCACCAAACACAACTGGTAAAATATCATGCAATATTTCTTTCCTCAGGTAGTCAAGATCTTGCATGTAGTAGACGTGAGGAGTGGAACAGATGAAGATGGCGAATACACTGAATGCAATAATATGACACTTATTAATTTTGTCATAAAGCTGATTGGACCCACCCACGAGCGAAATCTCACTCTCCTGTTACTACTCATTCAGGTCAGACAAAGGGTTCCTCCCGCAGAAAGATTTACTCTGCAACAGAAACAGATCCAAGTCAGTCTCAAGAGTTTCAAAGGGAAAGGGGAAAGTAAAATATCATGCTCTTCACACAAGATCCAGTTGAGCTGTGAACTTGGGGAGAAGTAGAGGCCTACATGCCTCAAGGAGGAAATAAATTCACAAACACCTCCCTTGTCATTGAGAGCTTATAAAAACAAATTCTGTAGGTTAGCTTAAAAAGATTCCCAAGGCACAAGTCATTGGTTGCAAGAAAAACATAAGGACAACAGTGTGACCCAATATAGAGCCTTTTTGCATATTCCCACTTTTCAGTTACACCAGATGACAGTTTCAGAGTTAATTCCAGCAAGTGGACTTGTGTAAGTGTGGCACGTGGCTCAGCATTGCCTCAGTCTGAGTGGGGTGTGGGAGCATTTTGAAGCCAGTTGGAGCACAAGGATATGCTTCACAGATACTGCCACTACCTGTATTCAACATATGAGCATAGTCTAGTAGAAACACCACTTTTGGAAAGGCCTGCAATGGTTAGTTGACCACAGTAAAATCCTTTTTTTTATCCTCAGATTTAAGAGAAGAGATTCTTTTTAGGAAAGAGACACTGCCAGATTCTGAGGAGGAAGGAATTCTGGGAGGAAGGACTTTTCAATGAAAGCCTGTTGAACAGGGCTCAGGCAGATGACATCGGGGGTGGGAGAAGACAGAAAGTATTTAGCACTTATCTTGATCCCAGTCACACCAGGAAAGTCCTGACAGCACCTTACTGTAAGGATGCTGAATTTCAGCTTTGACATAAAGTGTTTTCCATTACAAACTATGGCGTTTATGTTATAATGTAGGAGTTATTCCCAAAGGTTCATCTCATCCACATGTTCACAGACTGTGACTATGGGCAGGCATATGGAGTAATTCCTCACTGATAACTAAAATCCTCAGAGAAAGAAATGAGGTCTTTGAAAAGACTTCTGCCATTTATCTTCCTATGCCTAAAAATGTTGCCTTGTTGTTGCTGTTATATGAAATGAGGCATGCTGGAAAGCTTAGCAAATCCATATAGAAAGGAGGAATCTGACAGCCTGTAAACCATTCAACAGTATAATGTTTCTGTTACATGTCTGATTTTTACCTAGGTCCTTGGCAGCACGATTGCATTTTCGATCCGGTACCAACTAGTGCGCTTGTTTTATGATGTCTGACTGGACTGTCAGGAGCAAGGGAAAGAGTTTTACTGCCAGTCCATTTTCTCCAATTGCTTGACCACATGATTCAACTGATCTTACAGCAGCTCTCTGAGAACCTCAGAATACCTGTAAGAACGCAAGCAACTGCTCTGCGTGGGCAGTCTTGAACTGGGGGTTTTTTGTGCAAAAAAGGCTTTTGTCCAATTCTGCGGATAGAAAAGATTCACTGCTACTTGGACATCATTGTTAACAGGAATACCTTTTAGCAGGGAAGCAAGTGACAGCACTTAGGGGAAGTGGGAAAGATGGAATCTATACATCTAACAAAGACACCACTGTTCACTAAGAGAGAAAACAGCAACTTTTAATTTCTCTGAGACTCTGTAGAGCAGAATAAGTAAACCAGACTCTGCTTCTGGCTTCTCCAATCATGTTTTTGGTTCATGGACATAGAATGGCATATTACAAACCATGCTCAAAACTCAGAGTGCTCCAAGAATAAAGTGATTCATGGTACCCTTTCCCCTGCTTTGCCTCAACAGTATTGACACGCAGTGAAACTGGGTTACGTGATCTATCTCCAGCTTTCTTCCCCCCTTAGGCAGCTGATCATTTCTACAGTAGACTCCTTCCTTTTTTATGGCTACTGGGAATGTTCCAATTGATGAGCTTTTAATTCTGAATATGTTTATCATTTGCTTTCCTCTGTGGTAGCCATATGGAATCGGCAAGCAGAGTAAGGATTACCATGTCCTTGTCTTAACAGGGTATCAGTAAAACCTGTAGATTAACATGGAACTAATACCCTCCAGACTGCAATTACCTTTTCTTCAAGTTATTTATATAGCAGTGTCTAGCACCATAGTTGAACACAGAATTGCTGTCTACCTGACAGAAAAACACAGAACAGCCATTGGAGTACCAGGTTATAGAATTTTTGCAATAGTAATGATAGTGAAAAGTTAAATAATACAACAGTACAAAAAATACAACAGCAAAAAAAGGGATGCTGAGGTGGGTGAGAGTAGGTATTGCCAGGTCAAGTACCCTAAAAGATGCAAGGGCACCACACTACCACACGCCCAAGTCCGGCTAGTGACAAGGCTCAGAATGTATTACCGGAAGGCAAATAATGATGTGCTGGTATCCAGCAGCACTGATCAACACAGAAAACATACAGCATTCAAGCATGAATGGCATGAGTGGCCAAATCCTCTTCCTCCTCTCCAGCAGATCAGTTTGTAAGTCTATTAGTAAAGTATATTCATTAACKTATAAACAAACATTATGAAACCTTTCATTACCTGGCCTTAAACACGCAGTCTCATCCAGCAACTAGCTGCTGGATTTCCTGGCATCAGGACATATGAATAGAGAAATAATTCTCTCTGCTAGCTGCTCTAGGAATGTGGCCTTCCAATAGGGAACTTGCAGGCAGGCACCCCATTTTCCATGGTAAAGTGGCTTAGCCCTATCTCCAGTGAGCATCCTGCTGACCCCGATCTACCATATCTGGTCCTGGGCTCTAAAGTCCATTACCCTACTTGCTCTCTGGTCTGCCTCGTTCGCTAGGGATCACACACACTTGAATTCCACCTAACTCTGGCAGCTCCCTGCATGTGCTGAGGTCTTCCCATTTGTTGGAACCACTGGCTTCTTTAATCTGTGTCATAATACCGTTTGCTGGCACTTAGACCTCCAGATGTACATAGGTACACAGGGTAGACAGTACACTCAATCTGAGGGAAAAAAGTATAAGTTGGGTTAAGTAAGTCAGGACAGACTGCAGAGATAATTTTTACTGATCAGCAACATGTTAAGATGTTACCATTTTCTTTGCTTTAATTTCTCCTTCAGCGTTCCCATGGGTTGGGGTTTTTTTGTTTTTTTTTTTCTCCCAGTCCATTTTGATTCCTTCCTCTCCTTTGGTGCTTCTCTTAATATATCCAAACTATAAACCTGTCTATAACCTATAYACTATAAACTATCTCACACATTCCCACAATCCCCTAAAAAGTATCTTATGGTAGTTTTTCACATCCCCAAATGCTCCTCTTCCTAATGCAAATACTCCTACATACAGGCATACCTCTCAGTCTGTAGGCATCCAGGGATCCCCTCTCCCTCGCTCTGGACGGAAGCCAAGCCCAGACAAGAGACCATGCCCAGGGGCTGACTCCACCCCTCAAAAAGTTCTGGGAGCAGCCCAGGTGGGGTAGGATCGTGCTGGTTAGGTGATTGCGTGACTGATGTCATCACTCCTCTGGCCCTTTGGTTAACCGTGACCAGCCCCTACTCACATAGTAACCTGACAGGTGACACAGCCAAAGCTACTTACACTGACCTTGCAGCGTTCCCACCTGCGGGTCAGGAGTAGCCGCATGCTCGCTGAGGGACGATGGGCGCGCGACGAGCACCCCACACCCCCCCAGCCTCCCCGTGGCTCAGATTTGGTGCCTCTCGCTCGCTGATTGGCTGGGCTCCATCGCCCAAACACTCAGGGCAGGCAGGGTAACGTCACACAGGTGACCAATCAGCAAAAGGTTATTCCGGCAGACGCACCAATAGCTAGGGATGCCCAATGCTGCCCGGTGAGCTGGACTCTACTTGGCGGGATGTTATAAAATCCCGGGCGCAGCAACTCCTTCCTCTGTTCGCTTGTCTCGGAGTGGGCAGAGCAGTGTGGGTTTAGCAGCCGGASCTAAACACCATGTCCGACCGTGGCAACAGCATTGATAAGGCCCGCGCTAGGGCCAARTCTCGTTCGTTACGGGCTGGGGGGCTCTTCCCGGTCGGGCGCCTTCACCGCCTGCTGCGGCGCGGGCACTCCGCGGACCGGGTGGGGGCTGCTGCGGCCCCGTACCTGGCAGCTGTGCTCGAGCACCTGACGGCTGAGATCCTGGGGCTSGCGGGCAACGCTGCACACGACGAGACGCTTGCCGTGCGCAATGACGAGGAGCTAAACAAGCTACTTGCCGGTGTTACCATAGCACAGGACGGCGTCCTGCCCAACATCCAGGCCGCGCTGCTGCCCAAAGGTGGCGGTGGCACAGGCTGCGCCAAGGCAGGCAAGAAAGGCAGCGGGCAGCAGTCGCAGGAGTACTAGGTCTGCTGGCACACCTAGCAGCTAGCACCACACAAAAAAAACACAGCACCACACGAAACACCCCACCTAGCACCACACAAAAACCCAAAGGCCCTTTTAAGGGCCATTGCTCCCCGAGAGAGCTGCAATCCGCAAGAGCAGGGAGGTGGGAAGGGGACACGAGGGCATGGCAGGCCATGGGGCTCTGTGGCTGGGGGCAGAAACCAGCCCAAGGCAAGTCAAACACTGAACACGAAAGCTGCTCCATAAGGAACTGTCATTTACTTCTGTTACATTTAGTGGAGGTGGCCTAGAAAATTGCTTCATTTACAAAACAGTACCCCAATACCCTGTTTCAGTATTTCTACAAGGCACTGTAACATGGACCCTGCTGAGAGGATGGTGACCTAGTAGCAAGTGGAGGGAGCCACAGAAACTGAAGTTTGGGTTTCTGAAGGCTTTCATGACCTTTATGCACATACAAAGGGAAACCAAAAAGGCTGTCCACTCCCTAATTTAATAGTGGCCAATTTACAAGTCTGCATCTACCTGATAACCACAAACTTAACCCACCTTAACTAAGACCAAGGGTGAATGTAGCATCTCTGATACTTTACTAGAAGGAACATGGTATCAGGAATCTAATAGGAGCCTTCAGGGATCCAGTGAGCGAAAAAGCCCAAATAACGACTCTTGAACAGACTCAGCACAGTTGAGTCTCCAATTATAATGAGCACTTTGCTCCTAAATGGAATTAAACACTTAAAGACCACTATTTCATTTTTAATTTTTGCTTTTGGCTTCCGACCTACAAAAATTGTTGAAAATACTTCAAAGAAACATTTAACAATTTAGAGAAATGTAGACAGGGATGAAAATTCTGAAGAGCAGAAACTACTCAAGCTAGTTAACTTAATATTTCAGGTTTTTTTGCACCCAAACATCAGGTAAGACTGGTGTGAATGTTGAAATAAATCCCTCCAGAGGATCATGACGTAGCTGCAGAGACTTGTAGCTGGAGTTGTAGCACTCCTGCTGGCCACACCCCAGCTTCAGCGAGCATCATTGAGCTGCCTTGCCACGCTAAGGATCTGCTTTGCTCCCTTGCTCAGAAGTAAACTAGCTACTTCAACACCCAGGTTCTCTGCAGCTTCCTGAGCCGGACCAGGAACATTCTTGGCCGTGATGCCAACATGCTGTACGTCGTCATTCGGTCCATCTTCATTCTGCAAATATAAACACCTCAAAGTAAGGTAGCAAGAAAGTAGTGGGCAAAGAATTAAGACACCCATGAAACAGGGTAAAACATAGCCTGAGAAGCCTGAAGAACAGCATGCTGTTACAGCTTACAAGAAACCAGACCAAATGTAATCTACTTCAAAAGGTCTGTTTTTTGGCATTCATCTTCAGGTTTGAAGTTTGAAGCCATCATGGTTCAATTACCTGATGGGGATAACTAACACTGGTCTGCATGGTCTCCTTCAGGCTGTCTGATCCATCCAAGCTGTAGACTGCTCCTGTCAAATACAACTTTGAAAAATATACAGAATGGATTAATACCACATTAACAAACAAACAGCCAACTAATGTCTCTATGAAAAAACCCACCCAATATACAAAGCTAAGTCTGGGGGGGAAAGGCTTTTGTCATGCAGTGGGATCAGCAAGAATAGTGGTACTGATGCCTTAAATGGGGCTTAACTTTGTCTGGCCTGTTTCAGGTAAGACAATAAAAGCAAACAGTTTTAATACAGGCCTACTGGTATACTGAAGGCAGACAAAAGCCTCCTCATAAAGCTACACTCAAAACGAGCGCTGAGTCACGAGACCATCACCTTTTACAAGTTTTGTCTTTTTAACATGTGAGGCCCCAATTCTCAATTACAACTTCAGGTGATGATGTCAATCCCCCCAACCTTGCTCCTCCCAATTCTCCTGCTGTTTACATATTTGGGGCCCTGAGGCAGTGAGGTGTCTTTGAGAGTAATTGTTTTGTGTAAAGATGGGAGAGCAGCTTTAATGCTGTACACTGGGAAAGTACAATACAGGTACATGAAAATATAGAAGCTAAAAATCCTAAGGCATCGGTACAATGCAAGAATAAGAAAAGTAATCCCTCTTAGGGAGCATGTGACTTCCCAAAGGCTGAACTGTTTTCCAAGCTTCCCACCTCCTTCATCACACTCCACTGTCTAAACACAGGTTTGGTAGGGTCAGAAGCAGGATTTTTAGCACAACGCTCACATAGGTGGCRTGGGTGGAGGGGGAAACCTGGTATGTATTACAAGCTAATTTTCTGAAAGACAGCTTCAGTAGCCAGACTCATTTTTGTACTCCTGCTTTGGACACAAACACAGAAGGATTGAGTCAAGAGACTATCTGCCCTAACTGGCTATAAAGATGTCTGCTGAAATTGTCTTCAGTAAAGGATCAGGGAATACTTGGAACAGGTTTACAAAAATCATTCATGAAGAATACAAAGTACTACTCACCTGGCCATCCTTCAGCAGGGTGCTAACAGCAACAGGGACACTGCATCCACCCTCCTAAAACACAAAGCAGCTGACACTGAGGCTCCTACCCAACATGTTCAAAGCAGAGGCCTCTGAAAAGTTTAGGCTGTATGGAACCCTGCCCACCACTCTTCAGGCCCTTTTTGATTCAGAAGTACTCTCCTTTGCAGTTTTAGGGAAGCGTAAAAGATTTCACACACCATGGCACCAAGTCAACTAGCAGATCATTATTTACTGCTGCAGGCAGAGCAAGGATGCCAGACCTACCAAACGCTTCATAAAGGCTCTCTCCGCAATGCAGCACAACACAGTGTCTGCATCATGCAAGGCAGATACCATATTCAGTATCTCTTGGTCTTTGGCACGAACTTCCACTGCTAAGGCACCCTAGAAAAGAAACACACAACAAAATACACTAACTCTTCAACTGCATGCATCTGCATGTGCACTCAGCATTGATCACGAAATAGAACTCAGAGGCTCGGACCCTTCTCACTAAGGGAGGGACATTTACAGAAATGAATTATGATACACTCCACTGGCTGCAGAGTCATCCTACAGTAGTTGCTATAAACAGAAGATCAGGACCTTTTCAGCCCAGTGTTAAAGATCATGCTGCCACCTCAAACCATTCTAAAACTTTGCACAGTACCTGACAAATGCATGATCAAAATCACTTTTTCAGACTGAACGTGCAGATTTGTCACTTGCAATCACTAATGAATCACCAGCGCTGTTTTACCAGGTTTAATCCTAGCAGGGCAATCCTGCGTAAACTCAGCATGGACTGGAATAGTTTGGCCACCTAAAAACAGGAGCACTAAGAATGTGCTCCGCAACAGATGTTTCAGCTCCACCCTGCAGGAGTCAGGACACCGTGCACAAAGGAGAAAGAAGCATAACAGAGCAAAGACACTGCAGTGGGTTCGCACAGCTATCCTAGTGCAACGTAATACTGACCCTGTCAGAGCCTGCCCCGTATCTGCCATGTGGCCCCACTGCAGCTGTGCACACATTACCTTTCCCATTTACTGTTTTTCCATTACTGATACAAATCAGCCCCTACCACACTGGGTAGGACACTCCCATTCTTTTAACAAGCTGTGCCTAAAACAGTGAAACAGCCAACGAGATTCATGTACTCTTCTGATGACCAAGACATAAGAGTCTTCCACGCAGTTAACTACTCAGTTATATTGTACTGCTGCTGGCTGTCACTGCTACTTAAGCATGACTTAAGGAACAAAGTTGTACAGTACCTGTCCAACAGCATACAGACAATCTTCAGGGCCTAGAAGCTGGAAGAAAGTAAAATCAAGAGTTAACTCAAGTTGCACTGCTCAGAATATAGGAAACAAGAGCCAGATTCCTGTCTTTAATACCAATCCATTTAATGTCTGACTGAAGAAATATCACCTCTCTTCTCATACCTCTGTTTCCACTGCTAAAGTGAGATCGTGCACTTTCCATCAACTGGAGTGTACACTGTGAATTAGCTAACCACTAAAATCTCAGTCTTGCACACTGCTGCGTTGCTAGACACGAGTGCTGTGAAGTGCTAGGAGACGATCAGATTACAAACTGTTACTGAACCATGGAAAGCCGAACACAAAAAAATTCTGTATAAAGAAAAAACCAACCAAAAACCCCAACCACTACTTCCTGAAATGTCTCAAAACAAAGCTAGAGTGGCAATGGAGTCAGCAGACTGCATGTTCATCTTAGACAGCACAACCACAAGGTCTGAAAGGCAAGCAGTCGATAGTTCAGCAGAGAGAACGGTMTTTTGTGCTTCGCTGCACCTCACCTGGCCGATGCGATTTTCCCAGCCCATTCTCTTCAGCCCAGCAGCAGCCAGGATGATGGCACTGAAGTCTTCCTTCTCATCTAGCTTCTTTAAACGGGTATTTAAGTTTCCTCTCTGTAGAAGTGATTAAGCAAGCATAGAAACAGCAGGCAAACAGTCCTACAACCACCTGAGTCTCCACAGACTATACAGAATCCAACAGTCGCCAAATGAGAATGTCAGTACCATCCTGAAAGAAGTGTTAAATATGGACAAATGTTTCCTAAAGTAGAATTTTGACAAGCATTATGGAATATTAATTCAAGTACTGAGTCTACAAAGATATGCATGTCAAGTAAGTACACTATCAGCATCCAACCCCTTCTGCACTACAAAGAACTCTGCTCCTAGAACTGAAGTAACAATGCCTTTTCTCAATAGTTCAGCCACCCATATTGGAACAAGGGGTCCAAAGCGCATCCAGGGTTACTGGAAACCCAGCAGCATCTGGTCACATGCCCATGACAAACACATGAGAGGCACCGTTACGCAGTTTTTCGAACACTGCATAACATACAATTCATCTGTACACAGAACCACAGCTAGATCAAGACTGGCTGCTTCTTCCTAGCCTCATGAGAAAGCGGAGGACAGGATGGCTACARTGCTACACCCCCCTCAGAACAGGGTACCAGAGAGAAGCCTTTGAGGAATCAGCTTGTTCTTGTAAGTCAGGTGGTACAAACCAGAATCTGGAGTTTGCACAAAGTTATGCTTTCCTGTTTGCAGCTTTACCAGCTTCCATGATTTGCCTGGAAAGGATACAATATCTCTGAATTCTAAATGAGGGAACTTCTTCTTGAGCTGAGCCGCCCTCCGAAGCGAACTGGTTCCAATCACACTGCAGGGAAAAACGTAATCACCGAAATCCAGAACACTCCAGCCAGATATATGACAGAGGTTTCAAGGAAATAAATAGTAAGGGTTTTTTTTTTTTTTTTTTTTTTTTTTTTTTTTTTT